GCTTTAAGTGCCTCAGCATAAGTCAGGTGAAGATGAAGGTCATCGGCAATGTTGATAGGTGTACAAACTCCTTTCTACCAATAGCTTAATTTTCCTGCTGGCACTCATGTTGAAAGCATGTCCAGTCTTATAGTGAGGTTTGAAATTTGGCATTACGACTGAAGGAGTCACCAAGGCCATAATGACCATCTGGCAGGATGTCACATAATAAAATACAAAAATCCTAGGGAATAAAATGTGCAGCATGGGACTCCTGGCAGGACCAGGCCATAGCCGCTGGCTGCAGTGCGCTGGTAGGGGCAAGAAACGCCTCCCGGGAGAGCAGACAGGTTCCTGTTGCTGGGGCGTAGGGAGGCAGCTGGGGTGGAGGACGCAGTGCTCGCAGCACCAGCATTTCCAAGGCTTTGCTGTGCCTGTGCAGCAGCTGCTCCTGCGGGCTGGGTGCCTACCGTTCAGTGGGATCGACCTCCTGCCGTTCCCTTGGAGAGCAACCGTGCTCTTCTCCAAAATGAACAGCTTCTGTGCACCCCAAGTCTGCTTTGCCACGGGAAACAAAGCATTGCAGGTGGGGGTGATTGACAAATTTCCTTCCAAGATCCACTTCTGGCCTTTCAGGAATACATCAATGGCAATACATTTAAGCAACGGAAACAACGCACAGGGCTCGTAACTCACTGTTACATGGAAATTTAAATTCCTTTTGGGCAGATGTAGGATTTAATTCAGCCAGTGAGTTGTGGTGGACTTGGCTAATCAGACAAGCCCTTCAGGTTTGTTTTTCACAGAATGGCTGAGGTCGGAAGAGAGCTCTGGAGATCACCGGGTCCAACCTCCCTGATCAAACAGGGTCATCTAGACCACAGTGCACAGGACCTTGTCCAGATGGCTTTTGAATATCTCCAAGGAAGAGGACTGCACAAGCTCTCTGGGCAACCCGTTCCGGTGCTCTGTCACCCTCACAGCAAAGAATTTTTTTCTCAGGTTCAGATGGACCTTCCTGTGTTTCGGTTTGTGCCCGTTGCGTCTTGTCCTGTCGCTGGGCACCATGGAGAAGAGCTTGGCCCCATCCTCTGGACACCTTCCCTTCAGATATTTAAATTCATTGATGAGATCCCCTCTCAGTCATCTCTTCTCCAGGTTAAAGAGGCCCAGCTCTCGCAGCCTTTCTTCACGGGAGAGATGCTCCAGTCCCCTCATCACCTGCATAGCCCTCCGCTGGACTCTCTCCAGGAGTGCCATGTCTCTCTTGTACTGGGCAGCCCAGCACTGGACACAGTACTCCAGGTGAGGCCTCACCAGGGCTGAGTAGAGAGGAGGATCACCTCCCTTGACCTGCTGGCAACGCTCTTGCTAATGCAGCCCAGGATGTGAGACGTTTTTCATGAGAAATTCCTTCTGTGAAATAAATAAAAATTTTTTTTTCTGTGCATAACTTACAGTTGAAAATGCATATGAGGTCTTTTTAGCTGTACAGTTTTGTTGCGGTGCTTTTGTAGTGCGATGGCCAAAGACTGTGAGAGAGGAGGATTTGTAACAAGAGATAGGAGCTTTTACTAGACCAGCTCCTTTGGTTGGGACAAATGGGAATGCTTCCAGACACACAGGTAGCCTTTGAGGGTTTGAAGAGATTTTGGGCTTAAATATTTAAACATTTTGTTAAGTTACAAAGACATTTCCATGAAAGTAAATATTACACACAACTATTGAAAAACATGCTGGCTGGATATGGGAAGACTAAAGTCCTGGAATATATCTACCATTTATTTTTGAAAAGGAGACTTTCTTCTCCACTCTGGCCGCTTGTCTTGCAGATAGACTCCAGTCTAGAAACTACTTAACCAGCATGAAAAAACTACATATATGTAACTGCTGGCATCTCCTAAAAAAAGCTCCATGACTGCTCATGTTACTCCTGAATCTCCTGAATTTCTCAAAATAGATTCTCTAAATAGATTGCAACTGAGTTCGGTTTTCCTGAGTCACGGGTTGGGAAAGCATGTGCTCTGCTGGAGAACTGTGCACATGTCGGAAGCTGCTGCAGGCAGGGGCTGTCTGTGTAAAGGTGACAGCAACCCTGAAATATTTCATGTAATATGAAAAGAATCTCACTCTCTTCCAATAGGAAACACATTTCACAAGGAAGAGGTGTGTGGAGTACTGGATAATCCTGCATAAAACATCTGCTCCTCTTATGCATAGTTTTTGTTTTCACATCTTTTTTCTAAAAGCAATATGCAGATTTGTTTTAAGAAAATAGCCCATATCCTTTAGATTTTATTTTAATGAAATTCATAGTCTTTGACTTCATGGCTCTTTTCTTCTGTTACTAAAACTTTTAGCCACCTGAATTCAAGCCTGTGCTTTGGCCAGTGGATTGGGCTGGTTTAAGCATTGCTCAGTAAAAGCTCTTGAACACAGGCTTGGTCTGAAGCACATGTTCCAGCAGTGATGACTTCAGTTGAGGTAAGTGCATAAATCCTTGTTTGCCTGGGGGCTGCAGCAGCACCCTGCCAGCTCATCCTCCCCTATCCCCGGGGAAGCAGGTGGTGGGGCCCTGTGCCGCTCGTGACCGGCCGCACACCTCTGCAGAAACACCCTTATTTTTGGAATTCATGACTTTGAGGCACTGTTCTGCCAGACCACAAGCCCAATATATATCCCATATATCCCAGTACCCCAGGTGGAGGTAGTCAATAGAAAACTTCAGACTAGTCTCTCAACACAGGAGAAAAATGCAATACGGTTTCTGTGATATACCTTAATTCTAGTTTTCATGAAACTATTTCCACATGGAAGCCACTTCCTTTTATGATTCCAAAGATTACTTCTTTTCTTGCTGATTATTGTAACCTGTTTTTACCACTCCTAAGGAACTAGAATTTGCCTATTCAGGGACAAAATCATCTATTTTTGCAGGTAAATAGTTTTTTTTAATTTCTCCTTCATGCAGGAGGTATTGTAAATAGCATCCCTCTGTTTTTCATTAAAAACAAACAAACTAACAAAAAGCTTTTATCCTTTACCAGGAGTTCCTGTTCTTCCTGCTCATGCCCAACTAGTCAGTCCCTTTTCAGCAGGGGAAAATCAACTAGTTTTGCGAGGGAGGCAGTGAAAGAATTGACTAAACATCCCAGAAATACCCATTTCAGAAATGAGTTGTGCTTCTGCAGCCTCTGTGCCTCCCTGTTCACTCACTTTCATGGCCAGATTAGCCCCACAAACCTCTCAGATATGCCACTACAGCTATCAGGAGAATTGGTGCTAGATGGGCTGGGGGAATTCCCTTTTTTTCAGTGTTAGCTATCACTGAGTCACTCAGAACGGAAGTTGTAATAATAGTTTCAGACATTTCAAGGAGCTAAATAGTTTGCACAAGTAGTGACTGTTACCCTGCTAGGGGGAACTTGCCTCTGCAAGGAGAGGCTCTATTTTTCTTTTTTTTAAAAAAAGACAAAATCTATCTTGAAATACTGCTAGTGCCCAGTGCTCACGTTCAGCACAAGTCCTTTTTCAATACTTGTGAATACAGACAGGATTTAACCCTATGTCCAGCGGACAATAGTGTGAGTTATGCTACAAGTCGCAGAAGCTTATTTTCAAATATTTGAAGTTACTGTGACAGAGGTCAGCTACAGCCAATGTGAGCTTTATACAAAAGGTGTAAATCAGAACTGCTTCCACCACTGAAGCCAGAGAGACTTGAAGAAAAAGTATATTGATTACTTAAAGAGAGTGTAATGTTTCTGCAAATATTTGAAGCCATGCAGGAATTTTTTTGCTGTGGAAGAAACACTTTCTGGTTTATATAAATACATCTGTCAAAACACTTCCTTTCTGGGAAAATGAACTGTAACATGCAATACTCCTGCTAAAGTCCTGAGGAAGCTATGTGGGTTCTGGCCTGCCAAGATAAGAAACTTTAGGAATATTACAGTCAATGAGAGTTAAAGTGAGCCAGCATCAAGGTAACCAGGGTGCGGAGGGCAGTTTTTCAACTTGGAGTCTGATTATTCCGTCTCCTTAATGCGAATTTTGATACTGTAAATGCATTGCTGTGTTTTACCAGTTATTTTGTGGAGGGCAATGTTAACTGTGTTTGTTTCGACACACTTCGGAAAACCAAATCGTTATTTGCTCACACAATTGATTTCTCCACCTGTGAAGCTCCCGTGTGGACCCAGGACCCCAGCTTTGCGGGGTGACCCTGGAGGGTGAACCCGCCTTGCAGCCCATGGTGGGGAGGACTGAGGCAGGACGGGAACCTCGTCACGCTGGTCTGCTCTCTGGGCGCCACTGCTGCAGCCCTGGCCAGTTTGCAGACCCCTTTCATCCCTATGGCTCCTCCGAGAGCCAGAGGTGTTGAAAAAGCCCTTGCAACTTACCAAGATTTCTTGATGTCAGTTGGAATAGTGAAAACATGGGTGGAAATGACTTGTCCTTGCCCATATTAGGAAGAGTAGGAATGCTTTTGGATAGAAAAAAGAGTAGTCAGTTTATTGGAAAGTACCAAATGCAATCTTGCCATTGTCCTGTGAAAAATCTTCCTTGCCTTTTCGACTTCTTTACTTTGTGATTATCTCTCTAAAGCAATGTAAATTCAGTCTATCAGTGAAAACTGAGGACTGGTACTCCCTTTTAAAATTTCTTCACCACCCTTCTCTGCTGTTCACTCCCTGGAAGGGGCCGGCAGAGGAGGGAAAAAAGCCAGTCGGAATAGCGGGACCCTAAATCTTTGGCTTAAAGCATGCAGGAACTAATCCTGGGGCATCGCTCGAGGAAGCTATTTCCACCACCTTTTAGTTGGTGGAAAGGGGGGAGTGTGGTCCTGGGGGGTGTTTGTTTGTTTGTTTGTTTGGGTTTTTCTGAGGGTTAGGTCTAAAATTTAAAAACGAAGTAACGTGAAGTCCGACAGAACAAGCCACGCCCTTACCAACAGATACTGTCTGCATGGAAGAATCGCCTAAAACAGCTGTATTTAACTGTGATTCCAGAGTAATTTTTTCCAGAATAAAGTGTGGAATAAGCGTTCCTCAATTCTGCATTTTCATGCCAGAGAGGAGGCGTTTGACCCCAGTGCTGTAAATCCACTCCAGGAAACAGACTCTGCCCAAACGAAACCCCATCAGCTTCGGTGCAGCTTCCCAAAAAGCCAGCAGGGCACCAGTAAACAAGATGCTGTGGGACTAGGCATGAGAGCAGCCGCGGCGGCGGCTGGGGACTGGTCGAAAAACAGCGCTGGTGCATGACGCTTATGAGAAACTTCGTGACACCTTTGGCTTTCTAAGCAGTCCCAGCTAGGGAGGATCTTGTTTCGTCTGTGTTAAACTTTCAACCTGGATTTGAGACTTCATGTTCACTGTTTTATTCGTTCCCCTCTGAAAACATGTTATGCTGGGTATTATATTCCTTAATTTTTATTTAGCTTTTATAAAAATATTAATGGGAAGAAATTCCAGATGGCTTCATAGGGCTAGGGGCATCTCATAGAGCTGACTTGGTTATGCGATGGTGACAAATGAAGCATGGATAGCTCCAAAACATTACAATGGCAAGGTGGGGGGAAAGAGGATCTGCAGGTCTTTATTACCTTTAATTAATCTTTATTACCTTTCTTTAACAGTCCGGAGTAAAAGAAAGATACATTGTAAATACTAATCTGCTATTTTCTTTTTCCCCTGTGTTTATTCAGCACTGAACACCTTTCCCAGGCTCCCTATCTGTGAATGAGTCCACTAGACGCTGTCTCCGTGCGAATAATGTGATAGTACCTCACAGTCAGTCAAAAAATAGTTGAAACCAAATACTGATTTAAGAGCTCATGTCTATAACCGCCGAGACCCTCTTCCTCTTAGCTTTCTTCACGCTTACTCCATTGCTCTTTCAGTTCCCCTTCGTGAACCCAATAGCAGTTTATTGATAAGCAGCATGGTCACAAGGTCCTGTCAAAATGCACCTACTTTCACCTGCAGCTCTTACTGCCAGTGCTTTAGCTATAATCTCACTTTGCCCTCTAGTGCCCATTCTGCTCTTTCCTGCACTGCAAAGTGCTCTGTTGACTGAAATACCACTGAACATATTTTTACTTGGTGGTGAGATTGCATACAATGATCTTAGAAACTCCTGGGGACAGTCGTGTGCTAAAAAGAAAGCTTAATGGGCTCAGAGTTTCTGAATAGATTACTGGGCCATGAATTAGCATCTTCTCACTGTAGGCAGGTGTGGCAGAAAACCCTGGGATTCCTTATTAGGGGATAGCTGAAAAGATTTCACGTCATTTCCAAGTTTCATTAAAAATGAGCCATTTCAATCTCAGTTTACTGCATTGTAGAAGCCTCCTAGAATATCAGAACCTGAAAGCCAATTAGGCTAAATGTACTTTTATTGTACAGGTTTGAAGAGGTGCAAAAAGCAAAAATATAGCAGAAATAAGATTTGAAACAGTGCACAGCTGGGCCATTTCAAGTGCCATTAGTTGCAAAGCCCAAGGAATACAGATTTAGTTGTAAAATTTGTGGTGGGATCTCAGCAGGCAGAAAACAGCGCCGATTCTTTGCTTTGTCCGGTGGTCTTTCCTAGTGTTCCAGACCATGGAAAACTTGCTATTTGGTCATATTTCTGGTGTTTCCACTTCAGACCTGATGCTCATGGCTCTTACTTGTGTCGTTCAGCTTGCATCAACGACTAGTGGAGAGATGGCTCTGCACACCCTGCAAAAGAGACCTATGCCTCAGACACGGCGCCTTAGCTCACGGAGCACGTTGCTCCTCTTCTTACCAGCCCATTTCCCAAATACTGGTCTTTTCCCCATCACCCTCTGAATGCTACTGTTTTGCATGGCTGGAGATCAGGGAAAGCTTTCCGGGGCTCCAGGCTAGATGTCAAAAATAACCTCTAGCAATTTCTGCCTGCTTTTGGGAGCCGCTGTGCCAGTGCTTAACCCCGAAAGTGGACGCCCTTCCTCTCTCCTACCACTTTGCAGTTGAACCCCAAAGCCTGTGCCCAGCGCTCATCAGCTTTGATCCTAGAAAATGGCTCTTTAATTAGTCTGGCAACACAGCCAGGCTGAAACTCTGTTTTCTCCCTTGCTAACATACAGCAAGCAGCTAGGGAAAAAACAAGCATTTGAAATGGAGTTACCCAGGGACACTTTCCAAGGGTAAAATCCTGGCTTGGCCTCACAGAATAAAATGGATTTTTCCCCCATTATAAACAGGCTGTTTTGAAGAATATGAGTACTTCGTAATTATTATTTTTCAAGACTAATTTTGTGGTTTGGGGGGGTGTATTTGCTGGTATACCAAGGGCTCAATCTTTCTGCAGGTTAATTTGTGAGCAAAGGGAGAGATTTCATGCAGCAATGAAACACAGCACTGAACGGTGATGTTTCAGATTGCAGTAGCCAGGATGAATACTCCATGAGAAGGTAGGACTTGCCGCTGGCTGGAATGGATCTAGGGTACTTCTAGTATAAAGAAAAGTTTCAGATAAGGATGGGACAGGATTTAAAGCAAATAGGAAACACAAGAGAAAAGAAAAAAAAAAAAAGCCTTTTCCCTGTAAAGCTAGAGCAGGAAAAGATAGTTTAATTAACAGTATCCAACTGAGAGGTTATTACAGAAGTTACAGCTATTGCAATAATTTCCTGTGTAGACAAATCCTTCTCGGATGACTTTACCTCCTTGAACAAAGCAAATGTTAGAACGGATCAAGTGTAACAACAAATCCATTCTTGGAGAAGAGCATATCTTGAAAGGATAATGAATGATATCAACCTAAACTAGGATCATTTAAATAAAAACTATACCATTTTATTTTTGATGCAAACTCATTCAGTACAAATCTACTAATTCCTGTAAGGCAATGAATTTGTAGCGCATTCACAAGTAAAAGATTCTCTCTATACGGGTGAAATAGAGATAGATGGTAACAACATAGTTGCTCAGTAGAAAATGCTATATGATAACATCTTTCGTCATAAGATTATTATCCTTTCTGATGGAGTAACCCTCACTGGAAAGTCTTACAGATTATTTTATCTCTAATATATGGACCTTGTTTATCAAACAAGAATTTACTGACATTGAATAACATATTTGCATCAATCCCCATTAGCAACATAATAATTTAAATCCAGTCAAAATGAACTAGAAACATTTTCACAAGACAGATTATAGAAAAAAAAGCAAATATAATTAATTTCAAAGCCAAATTATGTGAGATCAAAACCTTTTTACCTTAGTTGTTAAGCCTTTTTATGACTTTATCAACAAATTGAAGACATCTCCTCATTTCTGCACGGCTGATCTCCCAGGAGCACATGCTGTGTTGTTTATCTTTAAGAAAATAGTCTATCTTTTGGAAATACTTTTTCAGTTTCAGCCTGCTGGCTTCTTTACTCCAGAAGTAGTGGATCTGCTTCTTGATTACACAAGCCTCCACTTGCTCAATCTGCTGATAAAGTCCATTCTGGAACTGCTCTAGAGCTTGCCCATCCCATGCAGCTAGTGTCAGGTTTTTGCTAAAGATATGGAAGATGTGTTGGAGGATCTCTTCAATGGCCATTTTGACAGTCTCTTTCTGCCTGGGCTTCAGGACCTGCTCAGGGAATCTGAAGGACATTCTTTCTCTTAGACATCGCTGAGGAAACTTTTCACCCATTTTGTCCAAAAGTTGCAGGCTGCTCTCAATTACTTTGCTTTGCTGTAAAGAAAGGTGATTACAATGAAGACTTGAGATGTTGGTGGTGCATGACAGAATGAGACCAATTTGTAGCAAGCCAAAAGTGCTCATGATAAAGATATGTCCTTATGTTCCTCTGTTCCTCCTGAGAGACAGGCTGGAATGATCTGAAGGTCTTTCATAGGCTCCTGTCTTTATTCAAAATCTTTACTTTAATTTTTTTGTCAGAGAAGTTTTCTTTCATCATTTTTTGGTTTTCAAGGTTTTCCCCCTTGTGTATGCTTTTGATACTCACCACTTTCATTTTCTGCTTTATGACTTCATTGTCTTTTTTTTCCTTTGCCACTTTCTTTTTATTTCAGCAGAATATTAAAATGTTGTGTATATCTTGGGTTATCTATTCCCTTTCCCTCAAGATCCCTTTCCCTCAAGAACTCTACGGTTAGTATACTGAAAATTTAAAATAAAAGATTACAGAAAAATTCTTAGTTTCTTAATGTTTTAGAAGTGAGATAACTCACTGAAATAGAATAACATTCTCAATGGAGGGCCAGGGACTTGCTGATACTGCCGGCATCCTGTCCTCTCCGTAAGATTTATACTTCCAAAATTTAGTTAAGCTTTCTCTACCTATTTTAATTTGGAGAAAATATTTTCTTTCTTCTCACCTTTATTTCTCTTGTTCATTTAAATGCAAGGACAAATTTAATTTCACTAAAATATGTGTGTATATATTAAAATATGTGCATATGTATTAAAATATGTATGTATGTTAATACATATACAGCACCAGGTAAAGGGAGCCCTGGTCTCACTTAGAGATTGTAAGTGGCATGGCAGTACAAATACTCGCATGGGAACAAGGTAGATCATTAGATGAAATATGCTGTGTTTTCCCCATCTGAGTAACTGAGGAATAACTGATGTCAATCTCAATAAGCACAGGTGTGAATTCTGAAATTAAATGGGGAGAAAATTAAGAAAGAAGGGCAAAAACGCTCCAAAATTAGCCTTTTGCTTAACATATAATAGAGTAGGTCAGGAACATCACAGGACAGTTATCTGGGAAACCTGGCACCTGTAAGATGTTCTGCACTGTTGCAAAGAAAATTCAGGGTAGTGTTGGGTTTAATTCAACAACATAGTTTGGAATAAATTTCCAGTCTTCTTCTTTCGATCAGAGCTCGGCTTAAACTATCATTTTGCTAGCTCCCCATCCTCCTGTGCAAACAAATCTCACTGGAAAGGAATTTCTCTGCAGGTGATTATGTTTTAAGGAAGCAGTTCAGAGAAACTGTTTTTTCGGTCTGAGATCTAGCTCTGCGTTTTTGTGCAGTTGTTGCAATGCCACCCGTTGCTATATAGTCGGCTTCATTCCCAGTTCAGTAGTGGCTCTGACCAGACTTCTGACCGGGCTTTCTTTGTCTTCAGAATAGGTATTTTGGGGGCTTTAAAAATTTATAAATTAAGCTAAGCATGACAGTTCACATGAGCAAACTGTTGGATGCCTTAACTTTACTTAAGCAGCCTTGAGATGGATGTGCTGCTGGTATGAGGAACAAATGAACCCCCTGTAGTCTCTTTGGAATGGCAGTATTAGCTAAAAAGAATAAAACATTCAGACTCATAAAATGAATAATATGGAGCAAATCGTTTCCTTTAGTACGAATCTTTGATAGTTTGGAAAAACAGGTCTGAAGCCCATTACTGTCAATAGATACAAAATGGCCATGGATATATATTACTTGTGCAAAAATACCGCTGTATAAAGTAAAAGAATAAATAGTACTACAACTGTTTCCATAAGTAACAGGCAAATGGCTCATTTTGTCTAAGTTGTGTTCATTATGAGAGATTAATCCCTCTGGTAAAGCTAAATAAACTTCTTTATATTCGTTACACCTCCCGGTCATACAACTTTTTTTCTTTTCTTTTCAACAAGTTTTCCTCTCACCTCAGACCTGGAGATGCTGTCCAGCTGCCCTGGGTGTAACATGCATTGCAGATCTGATACAAGGGAGGGTAAAAATTGCATCTGCATCTTCAGAACTTCTTACAAAAATAGAGCTGGTCAGGAATTTTTGTTCTCTTGTCTGTGTTAACAAATCTGTTGTCCTGTCTTCCTCCCAAGAGTTACATTTGCCTGAATTTGTCAGGTTTTCTTTTCTTTTATAACCACAAGTGTGCTTCCCTACCCAGCCAATTTCTTGCCTTTTCCATTGAGAAAAACGTAATAGTAACATTGCATAACTCATGGCATGGTCTCCCTTAATCATATGTCATTATTGCTCAATTGAGAAATAAACAGTTCATTAAAAGTCTTTGCTAGAGGAGGCAACTGAGTGATGTGATACTGCAGCATGAAAAGCTTTTGTTTGTTTCTTTCTATCTGTGGTTGAAGCGCAGAACACTTTAACCTAAAATTAAAAGAGGAAATGAATTTACAAAACATAAATGTAGTCCCAAGCAGACCTAATAAATCGTTCTTGTAAAACACGTACTGATCTCTGGTTCCATGCAGGAAAGATCAGCTCGGAAAGGTCATCTTGCTATTTATGTATTCAGTATAGGAGAAGGAGCTGAAAGCTATATACAAACATAGTTTTATGTTTTTCTAACACCCTTAATCTCCCACAAATTACTTTTCTAATGGAAATTTTTAATTGAATTATAGAATGTAAAAGAGAGATTAAATGAATATTCACTGTCCCTTATGACATGGATTCTTTTATTTCAGGCTCCAAGGCAAGCAGTAAGCCTAAATTCAGGCTAGCAATACACTAGCAAATAGAGCAGGGCCTGGGAACATTCCTACAAAGTAGGAATATGATTGTGCAACACTCAGCATGATTTTGGCCCATGTTAACTAGTTCATGTTAAATCACTTAACGTAGCCACATACCAGTATTCTCAAATCAAAATAACCAGTTCCCTTCAATATTTTATTTACTCTAGCTATCAGTTTCCTTTCTCCTTTAATTCATTCAAAACACTCTGATTTTAACAAGTCAGCATGCCATTGAAGAGTTCAAACAAGTTCAGCTTGTCCTTCCATAAAATGCATTATCGTCATACCCAACTAGATAGACTCTGCTCATGTTAAAAGCAAATCACTTTCCTCCACTGCTTTTCATCTACCTTAGGCACCTGAATTCTTTCTTCCTTACTATTTTTAAGCAAAAACCTCGAATGCAAGCAAGACTGGATTTTTTGCTCTTGTCCTGAGAGCACGAGGACAGCCAGATTTAAGCCTCAAGCTGTGATGAGCAAAAGGCACTGGCAGCCAGATGTGCGCACACACTGATCAGAAGGGGCATAGTGCCAACTTGTACCAGAGCTGGAACCACTCCCCGAGGCCATCACATGAAAGATCGATAAAGAAAATATTTTTTTTAATAAAAATGTACCATGTGAAGAAGCATACCTTGCGGGCTTTTATGTATTTAAAATACAGTTGTGACACACTTACAGTTTTGCAGTTACGGAGGGAAGAGGTGGGAGATGGACCATCTTGGCGCTCAGGACAGGCAGGGTTTGGCAACAGGCGTTCAAGTGCAAGGGCTGGATTTCTCACTTCTCCAGCATAGTGAGGGCGACCGAGACCAGATGGTGTCTCCTCCAAAGACGTGTGGAGGAGTAGGGCCACTTGCTCTGCGGAGGTGGAGGACCAGAGCCAGGTGAGGAAGAAGAGGCCTGTGCGGCAGCCAAGGTGTCAGGGCCAGAGTAAATGTGGGTGCCTTTGTGGAAGGGAGCAGCTGGGAGAGGAAGGGGAACCAGCTGAGGCCTCTGGAGGCAACGAGTGGTAATGGGGTCACTGTGCGCCAGCTGCCTGCCACTCTGCCACTGGGTTTGCTGCCTAGTGGTTCATGAAGGAGGCAGAAAGCTTTCCACACCTCCTTAGGACCATCTCCCAGGTGCTGGTCTTGGATGAAGAAGCAGCTGGGGCATTTTGAGGCTGAGGGGCAGCATCTCCCATACTGCAAGGAGGTGGTTTTGGCTGACTATGCTTAAGATATGCCTAAGGATGGCATGTATGATGCCCATGGCATTGAGTACCAGGAGCTCTGTGGGCCTGAGGAGAGCCTGAATGGGCTTGAAGCCAGCCCTTTGTTACTGGCATTGCCAGGAAGGTTTTGGCCCAGGTGCGTGCGGAGCTGTGGGACATGCTGGCTGACTTTGCTCTTCTGGAAGCGAAGGTGGCCCTGTGCTGAAAGGCAGCTGCAGGAGGCATGAGCAGCACAGGGAAGGGCAGGAGCAAGGGTGCCAGTGCTGCTGCCTCCAACCATGGCAGGGTTGAGCAAGGAGGGCTGGGGCACAGGAGACACCTGTGATGCTGAAGGTGCTCTCAGCCCTACTCCAGCACTGACAAATCAGGGCACTTTTGTTTTCGCGCTCCTGGGCCCTCCTCCGAGGCAGCAGTCCTGGGTGTTGTGAGATGGACTTTCATGTGGGATAAGCAGGCAGTGGCACAAGGGTGTAAAGGCAAGGGCAGGCTGTGAGTGAAAGGGATGCAGTTTTGAAAACCGGCGCCAGCTTTTGGCTCTATCCTGCCCCCGTTGGCACGATCTTCAAGTGAAGGACGAGGAGGCCACAGGGAGAAAGAGAAGGGTAATTTTCTTCCCTCATAAGGTCGCAGGAAGTTGCCTGCTGGTAGCAGAGGACACCAACAGGTGAGGAAAAGGTGAAAGGGTGAGTGTGATGGTTCCTTTTCCTCTCCTAGGCAAGCCTCACTGTGGGATGCAATCAGTAACCAGAGGTGCAGGAAAGAAAGGCTCTATTAAAGAGCACATGCTGTTCTCCTGTGTTCTCTTTTCTGTCGATGGTTTATCCTGGTGGCCTTTCCCTTGACTGACCTGGAGAAACTGCTCTGGAGGGTGTGAAGACCTGTGAAGTGCTATGTCTCCTGGTGGTCTCCCTTTCCAATGGGATTCTCCCAGTACTGCTCAGAGCATCACATGGGATTTCCTCTGTGTCACCTCTGTCCTGAAAATCCAGCCTCCAAGCTCTGCTGTTAGCTGGGGAGATGCTTGCCTGCAGCCAACCTGAAGGCAGGCGCTTTGGGAGGAAATGACCCCTCCTTGGGCCATCTTCAATCCCCGCTTAAACCTACA